CTTTTCCCTGGTCCCTGTGTCATTTCACTGGGCTTGGCAGGGTGGTGCCTTAGCTGGACAGTGATGGAGGAAGAATGCAGTCCCAGGAGCTAATTCTGGTTTCTCCAGAGTCAGGGTAACCAGGTGCAGCCTGTGTGCACCAGCAGAGCAGCCTCAGCCACTGAAGCTGTGTTGAGGACACATCAGGATGAAGGTATTGGTGCCATCAAGGGACTTCAGATCTGCTCAGGGGGACTTCAATCATTTCTGCTTGAGATGAAGGGCAAATTTGTGCCCTGAGTCACGGAATATCTGGATAAAAGTGGCAGGATGGTGCCAGGTTGACACCGAGCTCGAGGCCAGGAAGGCTGCCCTGCCTGGGGCTGCTGGGCTCAGGCCGATGTTGCAGCACGGCCACCAGCACCGCGTTCCTGTGAGGGCCCTTACAACATCCGTGCACGGTCTCTGCAGAAAACCTTGTGTGACGAGTGTGACGAGAGCACTAAGAGGCCAGAAACGCAGCGTTAACTGTATCAGCTGTGATCAGACGTGTGACAGTCATGATGTCAACCTAACCAAAGGCCAAGAGGTTGGCAAAGTGGGGGAAAGCAGCGAGAACAACCACTGGTTTGGGGGCACAGAAGGCCAACGCATTTCGAAGGCAAGAAAGATGCAGACATGCACAAACATTGTCCCACGTATCTTCTCTGCAAACTCTGGAAGCAATGCAATTGATGTCGGTAAAACTAACTGGGAAAGAGGAATATGGAACAAGATGGAATGTCCCAGTAAAACTCTCCCACAAGGAGAGGGCAGGCATGAAGAACCGGCTGATAACATGCAAACATAAACAGAGAACACCAGCCGGGGCCATTCCAAAGGCTGCACTTTGGTGGCAAGATGTGCGTTGAATTGGTCCAGATGTCTAAAGATGAGAAATCTTCCCTACAGGGACAGCTGGAGCCAAAATGCTGTGATCTGCTAAGTTACAAATTGTGTTCTTTTATTTTTATGTTTTTCCTCTTGTTTTCAATTTCTGTGATCAAGAATTCACTCCTGTTGCTTTCCTGGAACACACTTGTTTTTGTTTTCAGCTTGCTTGTATAAAGACTGGTGAGAGGCAAGCCTCCTGCTTGCCCTAAGGACGCAAACTTGCATAAATCTGACTCATGACTCATTTCCTGAGGATGTCTTAGATTGCAGACAAGGTTGGGGATCTCAGGAATGAGGGGTGAGATTCCTGAGAAGATGCAGAAACCTTGCTGAGATGCACATTTCATCACATACCAAGTTAAAGAATAAAGCATATCCCCTCACTTGGCATCATTGGGGTGTTGGTCAACAGCCATCTGAAGATGAGCCAGCAGTGTGCCCAAGTGGCCAAGAAGGCCAACGGCAAGCTGGTCTGTATCAGCAATAGTGTGGCCAGCAGGACTGGGGCAGGGATTGTCCCCCTGGACTTGGCACTGGTGAGGCTCCATTTCCAACACCGTGTTCATTTTTGGGCCCCTCACAACAAGAAAGCATTCAGGTGTTGGAAAGTGTCCAGAGAAGGGCGATAAAGTTGGTGATGGGACTTGAGAACAAGCCTGATGAGGAGCAGCTGAGGGAACTGGAGGTGTTTAGCCTGGAGAAAAGGAGGCTGAGGGGAGACCTTCTTGCTCTCTACAACCACCTGAAAGGAGGTTCTAGTGAGGTGGGAGTTGGTCCATTCTCCCAAGTTTTGCCAGTGGAGTTTTAGGTGGGGCATTTAGAAGAATTTCATCACTGAAAGGATTGTCAAGCCCTGGCAAAAGCTGCCCAGGGAAGCAGTGGAGTCACTATCCCCAGAGGTATTTAAAAGACCTGTACGTGTGGTGCTCAGGGACACAGTTTGGTGGTGGACTTGCTGGGGTAATGTTTGGACTCAATGATGTTAGAGGTCTTTTCAACCTATATGATTCTATGACTCAGTGCCTTGCCAAGCAGGTAACCCCAAAGCAACTTAGAGACCGAGCAAAACTCTGACCTGCCACTGCTGCACACCACACGCTGTGGCTACGTGGCCTCCACCAGGTCAGGCCTGTCCCCTCCTGGAGTGTGACGAGGACCCTTTCTCAAGATAATGTCACTTGCTGGAGCTCCAGCTGCAGAAAGCCAACATCACAGAATCTCAGAATCAGAGTCACAGAATTGCTGAGGCTGGAAAAGACCTCTGAGATCATCAAGTCCATCGGAGCAGAGCGTTGTGTGAAATGTGACTTACCTCTGGATTTTGTGCTGTGTCTGTGTAGGAGCGCTGAAATGCTGCTGCCATCCCTACCCACTGCCATTTGCGCCCTCTCTTACCGTGCCTGCATGAGGCAGACAGTTCCCACAGGGGCACAGCAGGGAGGAGGCAAACATGGATGAGCCTTACTGCTCAGAGCCCTGAGTGCAGAGCATCACGCTGGGATGAAGGGATCAAGCTCAAGAACATGCAGAGGTTAAAGCAATGCCTAAGAAATTTGTGTTTTCTGCATGGAAAAGATAACAAGAACAGGAACCACAGAATGATCTTCCATAGCTGGTGCCTCCGTGAGATAGACAAGAAGACAGCGCAGTTTCCGATGACACTTTTCTAAAGACCAAGCAGGAGAAAGAAACTTGTTACTCACAGGATTCGGAGGCTGGGCAGCTGCTGGCACATCCCTCTGGGCAGTAAACGGATGCCTGCTCGGGTCAAAGTCCTAAACGAGTGGAGGAGAGAGAAGAAATGGTGTTACTGAGACCCAGCGTACAGGCTGGGTCTCAGTACTGGTGCTGGATGGCTGCAGGAGAGATGAGAGACAATACCAATGGGATAATGAAGTACCTGGAGAGCAACAAAACCTGACTTGGAAATGGGCACTGCTGCTGGACCTGGTAAGGGTGAATGTGTCTGTAAGATATCCTGGGAAGTTGCTGAGTGTTGCATTCGCTGCTCCCCTTGGCCGCCTTGAGGGAAGGTGGCAGCGCTCTCTGTGGCATGCTCTGCAATCCCAGTTCCCCAGATGGGGAATCTGCCTGGAGCCACAGCTGCCTCATAAACCCGTGTACGGAGGTTGGAGAGTGTGTTCCTGGGCTCCAGAGGCAAGGCATGGCCAGGTCATGCTCCTGGGTTGGAGTGCTCAGCTGTGCTGCCAGTTTGGGCCCGGCGTATGGACCACTGCCCTCGAGAGGACAACCGTGGGTGGCCAGAGACAGTGTGTCCTCCAGGCTTCTGCCATCCTGGGTCTGGTCGTGTGAGGATGGGACTGGACCAGTTCCAGGAGACCCCAGACCAGCTGGCAGATGTGTAGCAAACTCAGCAGATGTTTCCTGCACTGTGCTACCAGGGATGAACCCAGGACGGGCAGAGACACTGGGTCTCAGCAGATGACACCAAAGCACTGCACCCAAAGGCTCACTCCTTCACAGACACAGAAGGGAAGGAAGGAAGGAAAAACAAAATAAAAAGAAGATTGGAGCACGTTCAACAGTACCAAGAGAGCAACTCACGGAGAGAAAAGCTGCTTTCAGGAGCCACAAGGGGTGAAACGAAGCAGAGAGCTGAATGCCCAGGGAGAGGCAGAGCTGAAGCTGGCCAACTGCACAGCGCTGTGAAAGTTGTCCTCGCTGAAACAGCCTGGCCCGCCTTGAAGGAGGAAGAGCACAAATAGCAGGGTAAAAGGGAGAGAGTGGCCACTCACAAAACTTCTAGGCTGGTGGTGCCTTTAAGGTCTGGGAATTCTCTGATGTCCGTTGCACCATTGAGTGACCTGCAGAGAAACGAGAGTGCAGTGAGGTGGACAGAGGATCCAGAAGCACACGCAGCTGCCCAAGGTCCTAGACCCATCAGCTGTGGTGGCAAACCTGCTTCCTCACACCCCAAGGGGGTGATCAGAAGCCTGTACCCAGAGGTGCCCCTGCCATTGGCTGGGCAGTGGAGCAGATGTCTCATGCAGCGCAGATAGAGTGAGCCAGGCATTTCTATGCAAGGAGACTTGGCAAGCTCAGACCCTCCCCCAACCACTGACATTCTTGGCATGATCTCTACCCAAATTAGATAAAAAAATCCTAAACAATTACCATAGGGAATGTAAGCAGGGCATCCCACCCAAGCCTCCCAGAGTCTATACATTTGGAGCTGAAGAATGCGTGGGTATTTGAAAGATTTATTTTATTTGCCTGAGTATGTGTTCCTGCAGCCAGAGGTTGGGTGAGGCTTATAAATAGAGATTTTGAGGTTGCCTCTACCTCAATATTTACTGTTGTGCCACAACAGGTTAGCCAAAAAGCCAGGCAGTCTGGGCCAGCCAATGTGGAGCAGCCGTTCTGTTCCGGATGGCACCCACCACATGGTGGTGTTCCTGGAGCAGGCTTAGGGCTGAACGTGTGAAGGAAGCCCTGTCACCACTGCCTGTACAGGAAGATTATTCGTGCCATGTTATGGGACGTGTTCCTCCACATCTCCATCTTGCAGAAGAAAGCAGTGGCCTTGTGTTTGGGCAACTGCACAACAGCGCAGGGCTTGCTTGAGCAGCATGCAGCAAATGTAGTGGCACTTGTGCGTGTGGTCTGCAGCTGTGGAGACCCTAGAACGCTCCAGGGCCTGCCAGTTAGGTGTGCAGGAGGATTGGATTGCTCCCTCCAAAATGCCCTTCTCAAAATTATTCTTCTGCAGTGGAGAACACCTGCAGTGTCTACTCCTTGGCTCACTGCCTTGAGGGCTGGCCAGAATAGTGCCATCAAGTGCCAATAGTGCCTTCGGTTGGTGTAAAGACTCCAGAAAACAGGAAGGGAGAAGGCCTTTAAGGTGTCCAGCTCAAAGGGCTTGGACCTGGGATATGTTGCCTCTCTGAGGATGTCCTTGGGGGACTTACTTACAGAGTGTGGAGCTTTGGCAAGTACTGGAAAGCAGACTGTCCAACAAACTGGATGGGATTGTCATAAAAATGGCTGCAAAGGAAAGAAGTAACTGGTTAGATTCTGCTGTGCATGAAGTGATCCTGCTGCGGATCAAGAGCCCTAGAGCAATTAGCAGCAAGCTGTGCAGTGCTGGCTATCCTGCGAGCAACCCCAGGCTCTCCCACTAGTCTGTTTTGGCTGAACACTAGTACAAATGAGGTCTCCTCCTGCTCTGACAGGGCCCTTTAGGGTCCAGCTGGACCAGGAAGATGCAAAGCCCTCCTTCAACCCTGCTATAATGCTGGGAAACACCTTGCACTTGATGACACTTCCTTTGATCTCACCTACCCACAGCACCAGGATCTTTCCTGCCTGTCGCAGTCAGTGGTGAGAAGTGAACGCTTTTGGAATCCAAGTAGCTTTAGGAGGAGTTGGATCACCTCCTACGAGAAGCACTTTTCCCCACCAACTGTGAAAGACTTTAGATGGGCAGACCCAATGAAGACAAGAGTATTCTGGATGTATCTCACCCCCATGTCACTGCAAAGATGATGCCGAGGGAAGATGGGGATAAGGGCTTTTGTCACTTGCCATGATTTCCAGTATCAGTGTGGTTCTGGGAAGAATTGTCCAAAAATCTCTACCTGTGTCTGGGTCAGCAGAGAAATGAGCTGGCAACTGGGTGTATTTATCTGCAGTCCTTCATGTCCATGAGTCTGGGGAGGACACAATGATCTGGTGTCCCAGCTCCCCAACACCTACAGCTACTGCTATAACTGTCCAACAGCTTTTCTAAACACAAGGAGTAAATGCAGGGAGATGTCAACCAGGGCTTAGAAAATCCTGGTTTGCACGGCAAGATGTCCATGAAGACCACCCATACACCGTTCCTTTGCTATCAGTCTGTACTGCAGCAAAGTTCAGCTGCAGGGAAAGGAGAGCCCATGGCAAAAACCTGGGGTGTAGCTGAGAAGGACCTCACTTCAGCTTGTGTTGGCCCATATAGAACTAATGTCCAACTACGGTCATGCTGACAACTGTCAGAAATCCCAACCAAAGACATCGGGAAATGCCCCTTTCCGGAGGATGTAAGGATTTAGGAAACATTGTTTAATTTTCTTACATTGTTTGGAGCAGGGGATTCCCAGCAAATGCGTTCTCTGGAATAGCTTTGATGTTGTTGTTATGAAAACCGCTGTTGGGAGAAACAAATAACTTGGTATTAATGGATGAGAAAAGCTTAGAGACACCTTCTTTCCTCAACACTTTTCAAGGCAGAGAGCCTTCAAAACACACATAAAATAGGAGGTGTAGGCTCTGTTCCAGCTGTAGCATCATCCCAGCAAGTGAACAAGGTCTGTCCTTTGGCAGGACAAAGCCCAAAGCCCTCATTCTGCTGTATTTACTCGGTGTGTCACTCCACTGAACCCACCAAGAATACAAGGACTGGAGTTTTAACACCTTACAGGTCAGGAAACAAAATACACTTACTTTGTACCCTCCAGGAATTAAAATTTTTACGGATGGTCTCCATTATAGGTCCACAGCTGTTAACCAGAATGCAGCCTAGCATGAATTGTTGGCCCATGTGTCCTGGACATCACAGGCTGCCATGAGATCCTGTGTTCAGGACCAAGACCAGGCACTGGGTGATGCCCGGTTTGTTTAAGCCCAGCAGAGTCTGAGTGATTAGTTGGATGGCTGTTTGAAATTTGCCTCATATTGAGTGATGGGCATTTCAAAAGCCATCTTGAAGTGTATTAAGGAACTTATTCTCATTTTGAATGTCAAGCAGTGCTGATATCTGGTCTGATCAGAGAAATGTCCTGAGAATTTTTCCAGTAAAAGAAAAAAGTCAAGCCTCACAGAAGCACCAAAGCAGCTGCTTTTGTTCCACCTCAGCGTGTCACACTGGTGACACAGTCTTGTGGACCCAACTCGACCCCATCTTGGGGCTTCTACCTCTGTGGGTGTTAAGGGGGATGGTTTCCAATTTTGAGTGTCTCCCAGGCTGGCTGGCTAGAGGAGACAGAGCTAGTCACCAAAACACTCATAAACTTTTGTAATTCGCTCTTATAAATTTGTCCTAAGGGAGATCAAACAGTTTCTGCATGTCAGAGGAGGTGTCACAGGGTCTGCAGAAGCCAGGGCCTCACAATAACACATAGTTGTGGTCCCAGACCGGGGAATGGACGTGAGAAGTAGCTGGAGATCAGATGGACTTAGAGTCCCTCAGGTGCCACAGGAGAATGAAGCTCTGCAGGAGGAACCTGCTCCAAGCCTGATGGGTGATCTCCCATTGCCCTCCACCAGCCGCAGTGCAGAGACTGATGGTGAGGTGATTAGAGCTGATGGAAATCAAGGGCATAAACTGGTTTTACGTGCATGGCAGAGAGGGCTGGGAAAGACGAATAAAGGCTTGGACCGAGTGCACTCTTTGAGTCAGAGCACACGCGATGCTTTGTTGGTCACTCTACATCGGGGAATGCTTTTGAGAAGGAATTAATAGAAAATCTCACAGCTCCTGCAGTCGGCCCAGCGTCCTGATAGCCCCAGGGAATTCCAGCAGCTCATTGTAGTTTAGATCCCTGAAAAATAGAGAGGGAAAAAACATTCATTAATGTTGCTGTAGGAGCTCAACCGAGTGTATCTGTGCTTTGAAGACATGGAAACTTGGTTGTTAAGCATGGGAGACAGGTTTTTCCTACTGTGCTGATCTAGCCACTGCCTGGAAACAAAATCTCACACATTCCTGAAGCAGGAATATTTCCTGCTAGGAGCACTGTCAGGCGGGAGTCAGTCCAAGCCATGGCTGCTGGTGTCTGGACTCCTTCCCCGCAGGCCCCTCCGTGCCCAGTGCTGGACCGTGCTGCAACTTCACATCTCCAGAGTGTCCTGTCCCCCTCTCCCAGGAAGTCACCCCCAAGGGCTTTGCCTATGAGTTGTTTTTCCTGCCTTTCCAGGTCAAAATGGGGGGTTATGAAGGACAAGAAGAGCAGTGTCAGTTGTGTGGGCCCCATGGAAGGGCTTCTCTGGGCTGCCTCACCCTGTGGTACAGAAGGTATCAGGGGACCATCCCCTTGGTCCTTGTCCTGGGGGCACTGGATCTCCCTGCACTGGGACATGCTATGCCTGGGACCGGTGGGAGAAGCAGGCTATGGGAAAGGCTAAGTTTTCTTCTGATGTTTGGGGTGAACCCCACATTGGAAACTGTGAGCCAAAGGTGGATACCAAGAGGTATCGACACTGATGAGCATCAAGTTTGATTTGCAGTATCATAAATTAAGTAAAATATAGTATGTTGGTCATAATGATGTATTGGCCCTGACTTGGCAACAAAAGAGACATCTGAGCCTGAATGAAAGCTCATGTGTCCTATTCATTCTCCAAGGATGGGCTGGCACCTCCAGAAGAAGATTTATTTGAGCTACTGGGCACTGCTGGCAGGCTGGGAGGAGCAGCCCCCTGAAGGTACCAATCCTGCTGTTGGCTGGATGGGGCCCATGGAGCCTGGCTGGGCTTTAGATGTGTAGCACTGCTCCTCCAGCATGTCCATTGCCCTCGTCTGAGCGGCACTTCCAGCTGAAAAAGTAACTTTTGACCCCATCCTGGTCATCCCACAGAGCAAGACACTGAAGTCTGAAAACCATGCGACTGCTTCCTACCTGCTTGAAACTCACTGAGTTTTAAGTGGTAGATACTTTGGAACATGAGGGTAATTGCTGGCTCCTGGAGATTACTGTATAATTACACTTAATGGACCTCAAAGTAATTACCATGTAACCTGGATTGTGGTTTACGGAACAGAAATAACCCTGCATTTACACAGCAATGAGTTGCTGCCCAATTACCTTGTAATTCTCATCCTCTGGGCCCAGGCATAGTAATTACGTTATGATCTCTCTTGGCCCCCCTCTCGCTTACATAGTCTTCTCCTTTACCAGTGTCCCTGCTTGGGAATTACTCTACAGCACCCTCTCAGCTTTGCCCTGTAGGTATTTACTCAGTAAATCCACCCGAAGAGTCTCTCCAAATTGGTCTTTGCTTGCGCTTTCCACACTCCAGGCTTCAGTGACTTTTATGTCCGAGGGAATACATATGAGGGAATTACAAGATAGGGGACAAAATCAGAAGAAAAATGTGGAATGAGGTTGCCTGGGGTAGATTTTGTCTTGTGTAGCCCTGAGAAGGTCCATATCAGAGCTTGTTGCCGGATTCCCTTTGCAGCCCCGGCTAACGTAGAGTCACAGAGTGATTTGGGATGGAAGGGACCTTTAAAAGTCAAAAAGTCCAACGTCCCTGCAGTGAGCAGGGACATCTCCACTTAGATCGGGTTGCTCAAAGCCCAGTCCAACCTGAACTTGAATATTTCCAGGGATGGGTCTTCTATGACCTCACTGGGCAATCTGTTCCAGTGAATCACCACCCTCATTGTAAAAAATTTCTTCCTTATATCCAGTCTAATTCTACCCTCTTTTAGTTTAAAACCACTACCCCTTGGCCTATTGCTGCAGGCATTGCTAAAAAGTCTGTTCCCACCTTTCTTACAGACTTCCTTCAGGCACTGGGAGGCTGCTATAGGGTCTCCCCGGAGCCTTCTCATCTCCAGGATGAACAACCCAACTCTCCCAGCCTGTCCTCACAAGAGAGTTGCTCCAGTCCTCTAACCAATTTTGTGGCCCCCTCTGGACCCACTTAAGCAGGTCCATGTCCTTCTTGTGCTGAGGACCCCAGAGCTGGGCACAGCACTCCAGGTGGGCTCTGACTGGAGCAGAGCGGAGGGGCAGAATTCCCTCTCAATCTGCTGGCCATGCTGCTCTGGATGCAGCCCAGGATGAGATTGACCTTCTGGGTTGCAAGTGCACTTTGCTGACTCATGTTCAGCTTTTCACCCACCAGTACCCCCAAGTCCTTCTCTGCGGGGCTGCTCTCCATCCCTTCACCCCCCAGCGTGCATTGATACCAGGCACTGCCTCAACCCAAGGGCAGCACCTTGCCCTTTGCCTTGTTGAACCTCATGAGGTTCACACAGGGCCACATCTCAGGCCTGTCCAGGTCCCTCTGTATCACATCCTTTCCCTCCACTGTGTCAGCTGCACCACACAGCTCGGCAAACTTACGGAGGGTGCGCTTGATCCCACTGTCTGTGTCCTTGAGGACAATATTAAACAACTCTGGTCCCAGCACTGACTCCTGAGGGAGGTGGCAGGTCCTGCTACAGCACGCTTTGTCTCCCCACACCAAGGGCTATTTTTTCTCTTCCAGTTACAGAGGGAGTCTGGATGGATTTGACGGGATTTGAGGGATTTGATCAAATGAATCGTGCTCCTGTAGGCCCTGCCTCTCAAGGTCTGAAAAGGGTTCATGTAGTTTAATAACTGCTAGTGCTGGCCATCAGCAGGAGAGGAGAACAGGGCTGGTGACAACACCATGAGGTCTGCCTCTCCTCCATGTCCAACCTGCAGAATAAATAGCCCAACACACCGTGTGTTGCCTGATCTAGTTGAGAGGCGTCCCTGCCCATGACAGGGAGGTTGGATCAAATGTTCTCTAAGGTCCCTTCCAGTCTAGGCCATTCTAGGATTCTATGATTATATGATACATGCCTGCTCATATGCCTCACCCGTTGCAAGTCTCACGTAGCTCGTTACGAGCTGCTGGGATGCTCTCAGCCACTTTCTGCTGGTAGTGCCTCTCAGGCATCTGTCCCCACCACGGCTGAGCGCCCCACGTTCTACAGGCCCCGTCACACGGGGGAAGTCAGGGCAGGCCGTTCATGATGCACATCCCTCCACTGCGGCTCAGGGAGGCACGGGAGTGGGTTTCCAAAGGGATCGAGCAATTAGAAGTGCAGGCAGGACACTGCTGGGCATTTTGAAAGCAACAGTCAGATCCAATTAACCTCCAGATCACGCAGAATGAAATCAGAGACCATTAGCAGCCTAAGCTGACTGACAGTCCCACATCTCTGCCTGTGTGTAAAGTGCTTAATGCCTTTAAAAGTCTCACCCCGCAGTGACTTCCCAAGGTTGCAGTGAGATTTCCCATGAATGCAGGGATGTCACTCCAGGCCAGGGGTCTGCCTGCCTCGCTTCCCTCCCTTGTACCACACACTGAGGGGCTGGGATGAACCTGCGTGGTGCCAGGGGACCGACTCTGGAGCAGAGGCACCATCAGCCCCAACCCCAAGTGATGCTGAGCTCATCGCCCTCGTGTCGCTGGCTCTAGGGGAGGATAAGTGCAACGGCGTGGGGCTGAGGCTCTCCCCAGCAATACCCGACGTATCTGTGAGCAGCTGATGGATGGAAAATATTGCCCAACAAAGAGGAGGCTTGGCTCACCTCTGATTCACTGACAGAAAAAAAGATCTGTAAGCAGTATTATTTGTAAGGAATAATTCAGGGTGCTGTAATATTTGCTCCTGTCTTTCTCTAAAAATGCATTTCCTTTCCAGCCCACGACTCTTCCAGGCAGGCTGGTCTTTCATCAGCAGATGAACATGTTATTCGTACCTCCGCGTGTGTGCAAGTATGTACAGGACTAGTTCTTCCTGAGCGAACACACACCTTTCCCAGCCCTGGCAGCATCTCAGTGCCTCCCTCCCCCCGCACTTGACAGATACAAAGAGCATTGTGTTCAGCAGCTCCCTCTGGGTAAAAAAAAAGCCATCTCGGAATGCTGGCATACACCAAGCTTGTTGGAAAGTGGAAATGCAACCAGGTGTAGTCATGGTGCTCCAGCCTGGATGCCAGCAACCCCAATCTCTTCAGGACAGACAATGTGCCCATGCTTGCTCCTGCCCAGGCTTCCTCATTTTCGGTGAGGTGAGCCTCCCTCCCGGAAAACAAACCCAGCTGTTCCGATTAAGAGCTCCCCTGAGTGCTGCTTGCAGCTGACTGCTCTCGATCAGTGTGCCGCTCGCACCACCCTGACTTGCCTCCAGTGCTGCCCTGTGCCAATCCCCACTGGTTTCAGTGGGGTTCACCTGGTGGGAGGAGGCTGGAAGATGGTGTCATCCCAGGTGTCATCTCTTCTCTGCTCTCCACAAAGCCCAGACCCCAACCAGGACACAAGGATGGCTTCCCTCTCTCTTCTTCCTTCCTAGAACTTGACTCAGGCTCTGGTTCAAGCAATGACCCAGAAACAGGCTCTGACCTCCACCATGAGGGAAGCTGTGAGTGTTTCTGGCAGTGGGGAAATTTCTGCTCATCTAGTGACATTCAGTCCTTGGGTCTTTCCCCAAATGTCTCATATCAGCACGGCCACATCCATCCCAGATATGATCTCATTTGGCCCAGCCTGTGCACCTGGTGGTGCCTATCTGGAGCTTCTTTATCAGTGTAGGGTCAAGGCAAAGGGGAAAGAGACCGGGCTCAGTGAGGCAGGGAGGAATTTGCATTTTGGCTTCAGTGACCACAAAACTTTCTCCACTGAGCGTGTCGGTGAACTAACAAATGGGTGGATATAGAAAAGGGACGTGCTGTAGAAAATGCCTTCGTGTCTCCATTCTCTCCCTGCCTCATCTGAGTTCTGGATGATGTGGAGAAAGTTGTATAAAGCCAAATGTGCCACCAGGTGCCACCATCTC